GAAGACTCTCAACAGCAACGGCGATCCTTACTACCTCTGTTACGTGGAAGATGGCAAAGAAGGCGACTTGGTCAAAGTCCCCAAACGCCAGCAAGATAATTCTAACTCTGCTATCAAGGACGGGGATCGGGATGCTGATGGGGACATCGAACTCATTGACGTAGAGAACAAATGGCCGCAGGGCTCAGGCATTCTGTCACTAGAGGAGTAGAACGCCCTGCCGAAGAATGTCATTCTCAACTTATTCGGAAATTACAACAAAGAAACAGACGCAGCAGATGAAAATCCAAAGGAGGAAAGGGGTCGCGCATTAAGGAGACGAAGTGCAAGTAAGTCAGGGCCTGGCTCAAACCATCATCAGGCTTTCACTAATTGTCTCTAGTGAAGAGGACTCCGCCGAACTTTCAGAGGGCATCACGTCCGCTGTCAACACGCCCATCCAAGCTACGTTTCCAGCTTGACTGAACCACGAAATAACGATACAATGGCGACACGGTGATTCGCATCAACCTACTGAGAGATTGGCTTTGGACTTTATCAAATGAAAGGTGTAGAAAACGCGCTTGGGCCCTTGTAGATAGCTCATTGGGGTTCGAGTTATAAAGGCACGAGCGGGCATGGCTTTGGTAGAGGCATCATCATTTCTGACTGGGAAACCACCGCCAATACCCTCTTGCTTAATGATAGAAACGATTTAGACGTTACATTTCTCCCTGTTCGCATTCCTGTCTTGCTTCTTCTCCTCGTTGTACTCGCTGGATGTCCCTCTTCACAGTCACCAGTGATATCTCCAAACAGTCTGCCGGCATCGCTGTGGAGATGTCTCGCTCGCCGACCCAACCAGGACGACGATGTCGGCTCCGCCCCGCCCCTTTAGCTCAGTGGTAGAGCGCGGTCCACGGTTTAATCCCGTGAGGGGGCATTCCATTTTGCCTGTGCTGGCTCTTTTTGGCCTCGCACAGCAGATTTGAACAGGTTTCTCAAAAGAAAAGCCCTAGGAGAGTTGGTTGTGAGACGGGAACGTGGAGGAGTCTGGTGGGTATGTTTAATCGATCACGAGTAGGAATAGTAGCTTGGGATTGTCTGGATAGTTCTCGCGGCGGTGAAGGCCGTGTTCTTGGGGGCGGAGGTGGTTTTGAAGTGTTTTGTCGTCTATTGCTCAGAATCTGAAGGTGAGGCGTAGGAGACTTGGTTTTTGCTCAGCTGCGTAGCCATTCAATCAAATCCCTTTGCCATATTCTCTTTATTGTATCTTTGTGCGTGGGTCTCTCGGCAAAAGCCTCGAGCTATTTCAATTTTGGGCTATGGATCTAGAAGAAACTGCTTTCTCGGAGCCTATCCTTATCATCGAAGGGACGTCTATTACACTGAGATTGGTGTAAGCCTCAAAAAGAAAGCCGATGTATATGCAGGGGAGTCATCACCTGATGTCTTCAACATTGACACCGGTCCCGCTTACTGCGAGATCCAGGGAACCAGGGGTAAGATGAGACACTACGCAAGATCTATCAATTACTATCAAGCTTTCTGCGAGATCAAGAAACATGTTCCAATCTTTCTCCCTGCAAGATATCTTAGATATCATATGTGGCTTGTTGGCGTGATAATTGAGACACTGCCCTGCGAGATCCAGGTGAGCTCGGAAGGATCGTCCAAGGGGGACGTACCATAGGGCGGGGTAGGTATTGCGAGCAGGAAAGGAGGCTGGCTAGTCATGTCCGCTAGATGCAATCATCACGTCAAGATGCGCAGCCGTAGGCGTTCGTACCCCGTGGGGAGAGCTAGGGGGAGGGGAAGAGGCGTGGTCTGATGAGGTCTGGAACCCTGGAATGGCGGCACCGGCTTGAAGACCCGGGTAGCTGGGATGGGGGAATAGATATGCAGGGGCCCATAATCAACGAGGGAAAATGAGAACAGGTTTGCTGGGAGTCTGCAGTAGGTGAAGCGGACTGCCGGCATACCTAAGTGAAATCTTCGCGTGATGGGGGTCTTAGAAAGCAAGGGTTCAATCAGAAAGTAGTTCGAATTGCATAACATCGTACAAGCTTGCAGTCTCAGTAGTTGCAACAATAGCCTGCCTCCCTTTGCCCTCACGTCTCAGCTCGTGTTTAATCTTATCACAGTCTCAGTGTTCCTTGCCTCTTGCAAGCTTTGTGTGCGTGTGTCGGCCCGAACCCATTCAACTTCCATCAAAGCCAGTTTCCTGTCGCTCTCCCAAATTTGCCCTCTTCCATTTTAGTAGTCTCTCATCACATCGCTCTGGTCGTCGTCGCCGTCCTTGATGGGGATAGGCGCAGGAGGCTGTGGGGTTTGAGGTTTGTGACTTGGGTAGGATGCCATTACAAGGGTGTGGAAATGTCTTCTTTTCTTCTGCGTACAATCGTATAATCAATCGAAATGCTCATTCGACTCTCCTTATGGATGGGATGATAATGTTCGACGTAAGAGAATCACTCACGAGGCGGTTTATGATAGTCGGTCAAGGAAGAGGGTGGAAGAAAGTTTTCATCATTGGTCGCAATTTGAGAGCGGACGGAGCAGAGTATATACAAACATAACTTCTATGCTTCCCCTCTCTTTACCTTTTCTTTTCTGTCTGAACCAAGCTATTGGGGACCATAGAACGCGGGGGGACGGCGTGACGTCAGGCCACCGTGATGTCCAAGTGTGTCGACTCTCCCCTTCACTTGGCTGTTCTCTACTATGAAGGTGGTCACGGGCGTTCCGCTCGGACGGTTCGTGAGATAAGTCAATTAAATGAGTTTACGCGGTCTCGCAACCCTTTCGGGTAAATGGGGCATATGGCAAAGGGAGTAAAGTGGTCATCGAGAGAGTTCAGTCCGTCGGTGCGGGGGATGGACTTGCAACTCGTCGTCCACCGGAAGTGAATAAAAGTCTACAGTTGGGGGTCTCGCATTATGGAACAATGACTTCTGTTTTAAGGGTCGCAATCTCGCATGGGGACATTATCTTTGTGCTGTCAGTTTGATATCAGACCAGAATGGGGTCCGGGATTGGATGTCATCGTAAGTCAATGGTCATTGAGATGGGACGTAAGTGACGAGGATCAAGGCCACGTTTTATAAACCCCAACTTCTATGGCTAATCATGGCTAAAAATTCGTCATCCGTATGATAGTTTGCCTTCACTGCGGTCAGTATCTCCTATAAATAATGCGTGCCCATGTCGAGAAAGGAGCAACTAATCATACTTAGATGTGGACATCCTGACTTGCGAGTAGGCACGAGAGCAGTGACTCTGCGCCCAGAGCAAAGCCAAATCGGCGCAAACTCCTAGGCAGCTGAACCAAAGCTCTTTGCAAGTGCCTACTGCCCCTGAGTGCTGCTGGTAAACGGTTAGTTCCCGCGTGTCGGCGGCTGATCCCCCACCAACCCCGCCGCAGCCGCAGGACAGCAGCCCCCGGTCGGCTCGGAGGACCTGGTTTGGTGACCCGCATACGAAGTACCTGCGGCACAGCGTGGAGCGCAGCTGTCAGAGTCCCCGTACCCATAAATTATCAGATCAGGACATGAGAATGTGAAAACCCCACCATCCACCTCGCTGAACAACTTCTCGCGAGGGGTTCCGCTCATCGAGATCCAAGGAAAGCCGGAACCTGTTTCTAGTCCGAGATTGCGGTGAAGAAGAAATGCATGAAAACTCTCAAGGTTGCGCAAACGTCGAGGCAATGAGACAATTCATACCTAACTCAGAATAAGTCGGGGCGATTCAGATGACAGGTGGGAATCCACTCTCCGGGTCAAGGAGGTCAGCGTTTTATGGTGATAAAATTGTCGCAGATGTCTTGTCTTTGAACGTCTGCCAGATCCCCAGATTGTTAGACTTGCAGAGCCTCGAGACCATGGATGCAATGTCACATTTAAATTCCGTGTCTAGTCCAATAGACGCTTGGCTTTGCCGAGTGCTGTCACACAAAACAAGGTGAATACGGTGTATAGCGAGGAAGGCTGTACCCGCTGAAAGACGAGCCTATTCATCACCCGCGGGGTGGAACATTTTATCATATTGATAAGCGTATGTCGTTGCGTTCCCATATCGTCGTCTCAAGCAGATCGCCGGCGTTGTTGGTTGGCATAAGTCCTGGCTCAATGCGGAACACCGGATGACTTGGAACCCAACGGCATTCCGTGAACATTCCTTCAAGCGCACATTGTGGGCTTTCCCCTCATCTGGCAGGGTTTCGCCAAGAGGCTACCCCTCCATCGGCGAGGTCTCATCACTTAGCTGACTTGCCGGTTGCCGCTGCAATTGCTCTGGGTCTCTCAAGACGCAAGACACTGAAGGTCAATCGATATTCAGCGGATGGCGTGGCCTCTGGGGGGGCAAGATACTTGTTGTAGGCAGAAGAAACGCTGATGCTGAAGAGAAAAATGACCTGGGCGAGAAATTCCCAGAAAAACAATATAAATGGCGATTCAAAACAGCGCGTTGTTTCTGCGGAAGTGGCACCAAGGACGAGCACCGAGCTCAAGCTCAAGCTCCAGCTTCCCCTCCACTTTGTCCTCGTCTTCTCGGGGCTGGGGTCCTAGCTCCCGCCGTGAAAGGTGGTGGGGTGATGTCTGCAGGATTGACACTTGGCGGGGTGTGTCAGGCCCCCCAGTGAACCGGGGTTGCCAGGCTTATTGTGGCACGTAAGGCAAGTCGTGGATGAGCGGTGCCATGATCTGCGTGCATATGCCATGATCCAGACTCGCCATGAATCAGCTGCTTCTGGATCTGGGCGAGGAGCCGGCCGGGTTCCGCACCGTCAGTTGTTTTCCGTCGTCTAGTTCGTGCCTTATGCCAGGCTTACACGACTAAGGTAGTCCGATGCAATTCGGCACAGCCTGCCCAGTTGCCTGCAGAAGAAGGCCAAGTACCAAGGCACCTCTCTGCAATGGCGGGATATTTGCTGCATGCCTAGCTAGATTGGCCAAGGGCAGAAGGCGTCCGGGTTCACTGCTAGGCTTGCCGGGCCTGTCATTCATACCCCTTGCCGGCTAACTGACGACGTCCTTGTTTCGATATTCGTCTGGCTCCTCCGGGACAGCATTGTCATTACTAACGCCGTTGGTGCAGCTAATGATCGGGCCATCAGTGGACTGGTCGACCAGACAAGCGAATCGAGAGAAAAGGCTGGTTGTTCTAAGCCGGTTGCACGGGGACACCGGCACTGGTTGCGATAGGGCGTTGATACGAGTAAACGGTCCGAAACGGTGGTGCCGTAGAGCATGCCTAACCCGGGATGGAGGCTCTGTTGGCTTTCTCTGGAGGCGAGGTAGAACGGATTCTGCTGTTTTCTCGATGGAAGGATGCCACTGTCCCGTGATGGTAGGGAGATATCTTGTGTGTGCCATTTCGGTTGACGCCACGCCAAGAAGGGGATCGTATCTGGCGATTAGCCGTTGTCCTGGGAGTTGACTATCTCATTCCCGAAGATCGGGTAGTGAGACCACCTAGCCAAAAGGTGATTGAGGCTTTTTGATGCAGGCATGGATGGGTTGGATTGGGTCAGAATCGTGTTGGTGTAACAGAGATTGGCCCGGCAGCACGGACTGGGCAGAGCTGCCGATAATGCCAATGTAGTTGTAGGCGTTACGTTGCAAATTGTAATGAAGATGTGTGCATCAGCACCTGCCTCACCTTGCTAGTCACCGTCTTCACCTTGGCTCGCCATGGACACCGTAGATACGTAGCCCGGGCCGGCAAACGGCAGCTGCCGACGGTGCTGGATACGTACCTTGAAGGTACCGTACCGTGTCCCGAAGCGGCGATTCTGCTCGGCCCGCTGCTGCCCCGACTCTGAACTCTGAGCAGCAGTTTTTCTCCGTACTTCCTCCGCTGACTGAGACCTCTCGACCACCAAGGTGCAAGCGTTCCTGACCCAAAAAGCCATTGAATCCTGAACATCCTTCCCCAATCTCCTGAAAACGGACTGACAGGGCAAATCAAACACTATGACGCGGACAGGATCACAACCGATACCGACGTGGGGCGTAAGGTGACGTCGGCTACATGTCGCCTGGTGCCATGGCCGCAGTTGAGTTGCGTTCAGAAAATCAGACCACCTCTTCTCCCCACGCACAATCACCAGCACCACCCACCGATCAACCTCTCGTCGCCAAAAGAACATGCAAGGAAAACCCGCAATTCCTCAGCTCATCTGCAGCCGCCGTCTTAGTTTTCGTCCCGTCACCCTGTCATAGGCAGCTTCCGGACCGCCCAGAAGGAAACTTCGCCATATGCCACTAACGGCAACCCACGCCAGAAGTCCACGTTGCCAGGATGCCATGACACCCGACATCTCTTTCTCTTCTCCTCTTCCCCCCCACGTTGCCAGCCCATTGGAGCCTTTCATTGTGGAATGAATGAGAGTCCCGCACCTGGGGTTACCACTTCTCCAACTCCCCAGGCTAAAAGTCCCAAAAAGATGCTTCACCTGGAGTCCCATCAAGGAACGTGTTACATGCCACAAGGTTCCGTTCCGTATCTTCGTATACCCCACCCCTGCTTGTATGCCCTTGTTCTCTCAACGTTCGCAACCTTCGCCTCCAACCCAGGTTGGTAGCCGTCAACATCGGCTGATAGCTCCCGGACCTGCGTTTACGCTACTCAGTCGATGCCCGCCGGCCTCCAACCGGGGATCAGCACCATAGACGTGAGCATCAAACTCCAGCCTGGGCAGAGCTATCCGCCTGCCGCCCGACCTCTGGGCGAAATGACCGCAACATATCTTGCTCTCTCTCTGTCTCTCCTCTGACCTCTTCCGGCCTGACTAGTAGGTATAAAGACCAAGCCCTCTCGGACTTCAGTCAACTCTTGCCTTTCCTTTTCTAAACCACCCCTTTCAAGGCATCTTGGCCTGAACACATCTACGATAAACATCACCAACACTTACGTACCTACCTCCCGTCACCATCAACATGGCCGACAAGGAGGTCGAGTCCATCAGCCCCTATGGCCCAGCCCGGTCAACAGTAAAGGGCGAGCCCCTCTCCAAAGAGGACATTGTAAAGTACAATGACTTCTTCAAGGCCAGCTTGTACCTGTCTTTGGGAATGATCTTCCTCAAAGAAAACCCCCTCCTCAGGGAGCCCCTCAAGAAGGAGCACATGAAGCTGAGGTTACTCGGTCACTTCGGATCAGCTCCGGGTCAAATCTTTACCTGGATGCACTTCAACCGTCTTATCAAGAAGTACGACCTCGACTCCATCTTCATCTCCGGCCCGGGCCATGGAGCCCCCGCCGTGCTCTCCCAGTCGTACCTCGAGGGTGTCTATTCCGAGGTCTACCCAGAGAAGTCGGAAGACGTTGAAGGCATGCAGAAGTTCTTCAAGTCCTTCTCCTTCCCCGGTGGCATCGGTTCCCACGCTACCCCGGAGACCCCGGGCTCCATCCACGAGGGTGGAGAGCTTGGCTACTCTGTCTCCCACGCATTCGGTGCCGTCTATGACCACCCCGATCTCATTGCCCTGACCATGGTCGGCGATGGTGAGGCCGAGACTGGTCCGCTGGCAACTGCATGGCACAGCACCAAGTTCCTCAACCCCATTGTGGATGGCGCCGTCTTGCCTGTCCTGCACCTGAACGGTTACAAGATCAACAACCCCACAATCCTGGCCAGAATCTCCCACAAGGAGCTGGAGAACCTCTTCCTCGGCTACGGCTGGCAGCCGTACTTTGTCGAGGGCGACGATGTCGATACCATGCACCAGGCCATGGCCGCCACTCTGGAACACTGCGTCCTCGAGATCCGCAAGTTCCAGAAGCAGGCCCGCGACTCCGGCAAGGCCTTCCGCCCCATCTGGCCCTTGATTGTCCTTCGCAGTCCCAAGGGCTGGACTGGCCCCCGCAAGATTGACGACAACTACTTGGAGGGCTACTGGAGAGCCCACCAAGTCCCCATCCCCAACGCCGCCACCAACCCCGAGCACATGAAGCTCCTCGAGCAGTGGATGCGCAGCTACGAGCCCGAGCGTCTCTTCAAGGACGGCCGTATCTCGGATGAGCTCAAGTCCCTCTGCCCTACCGGTAATCGCCGCATGAGTGCCAACCCCGTGGCTAACGGTGGCGTTCTTAGGAAGCCTCTCAAGCTTCCCGACTTCAAGGAGTACGCTATCAAGGTTGACAAGTCTGGCGGCACCATGGCTGCCAGCATGAACAACATGGCCACCTATCTTCGGGATGTCATGGCCCAGAACATGCAGAGCTTCCGTCTGTTCGGACCCGACGAGACCGAGTCCAACAAGCTCGGTGCCGTCTACGAGGCCGGCAAGAAGGTCTGGATGGGCGAGTACTTTGAAGAGGATGCCAACGGCGGCAACCTGGCCCCCGAGGGACGTGTCATGGAGATGCTTTCCGAGCACACCTGTGAGGGTTGGCTCGAGGGTTACATCCTGACCGGACGTCACGGTCTCCTCAACAGCTACGAGCCATTCAGTAAGTTCACCTCTCTCTCACGTATTGAACAAACATGATGCTAACAAATTGTGCAGTCCACGTCATCGACTCCATGGTCAACCAGCACTGCAAGTGGATCGAAAAGGCCCTCGAAGTCGAGTGGCGTAACAAGATCGCCTCCCTCAACATCCTCCTCACTGCCGTCGTCTGGCGCCAGGACCACAACGGCTTCACGCACCAGGACCCGGGCTTCCTCGACGTCGTCGCCAACAAGAGCCCCGAGGTCGTCCGCATCTACCTTCCGCCCGACGGAAACTGCCTCCTCTCTACAATGGACCACTGCCTCGCCTCCTCAAACTACGTCAACGTCATCGTCGCCGACAAGCAGGAGCACCTGCAGTACCTCACCATGGAGAAGGCCGTCGAGCACTGCACAAAGGGCATCGGCATCTGGCCCCAGTTCAGCACCGACCAGGGCGAGGAGCCCGACCTCGTCATGGCCTCGTGCGGCGACATCTCCACTCACGAGTCCCTCGCCGCCATCGACCTCCTGCTGCAACACTTCCCCGAGCTCAAGATCCGCTGCGTCAACTGCGTCGACCTCTTCAAGCTCATCTCCCACGAAGACCACCCCCACGGCCTCACAAACGCCGAATGGGTCTCCCTCTTCACGGACGACAAGCCCGTCATTTTCAACTTCCACTCCTACCCCTGGCTCGTCCACCGCCTCACCTACAAGCGTCCGGGCAACATGAACCTCCACGTCCGCGGCTACAAGGAAAAGGGCAACATCGACACGCCCCTCGAGCTCGCCATCCGCAACCAGACGGACCGCTTCAGCCTCGCCATGGACGCCATCGACCGCATGCCACAGCTCCACAACCGCGGCGCCGCCGCCCGCGAGACGCTGCGCAACCAGCAGATCGCCGCCCGCATCGAGGCCTTCGAGACGGGCATGGACCCGCCCTTCCTCAAGAACTGGACCTGGTCTCACAACGGCCTGTGGCAAAAGGTCGCCAAGATCACCACCTAAGACTTTTGATAGATGGGGATTAGAAAAGCTTTAGATGGAAGAAACGACTAGACGAAATGTTTGGACAGGTTTCACAGACAGTAACGTTTTTTCGGAAAGAGTTTGTTTGATGCTACGGCGTTGTGGTATACTTGGGATAAGAGGAGAAGATATCAGGGCAGTTTTTTGCGAGTTTGAGAATGAGGTTTTTGTCGCGGCGGTGGCACATGTGCTCTGAAGTTGAATAAAAACAAAACATATGTTTTTTTTTTCATTAGATTTACATTCATCTCAACAAGATCTCACAGTGGAAAGAACATGGCCAGTCTGCTTCACCTTGAATATGCTTGATAATTCACACGCATCATTGGTATCTAAACGAAAGCAAAAAACACAAGAAAACGCAAAAGTTGAGATACAGCCTAGGCCATATCGGTGGTGTTTTGCCCAACCCCCCTCTGGGTACAATCCCTCGCCCTTCACGACCCGTACAACAGGCGGTGAGGAACTTGCGCTCGAGACTCCCAAACGCCCCCATTTGATAATGCTACACTTGCGTGTAAGTCCCAATCTCTCTGAAATCCCAATGTGCAAAAACGACAATGTACCGGCTGTCAAAGCTGCCTCTGCTACCGTGGATGATGGCATGCTTCATCGCCATGGCGCTTGATGCAGACCCTTTCCTTGCGCAACGGCCTGCAATGACTTTGGTTGTCACACTCGTCCCTGGGTCTCTCTAGAGATAGGCTTGGACCTCCTCGTCGGCCCCCCCCCAATCTCAGCCACAGGTCGACAGGCGAAGCCGCTCAAGGTCTCATTTGATGGCCTCACTTTTGAGTAGCAACCCCGCCGTAACAGCTTTAGATGCAACATCGACATTCGAAAGCCATCTTGGCTTAGGGGCCCATCAAGTCAAAGCCTCACCAGCACCGGAGCTTCCTCCATATCGATGCCTTGCCAACCTTGCCTTCGATGTTCGGACCCCGAACACCGGGGCCGCGTTTCTCATTCTGCTCGCTGCCTGCCGGAAGGGGACTTAGCGGCTTGGTCATTCCTCTCCGATCCATTTCCATGTTTTCGTTGACGCCCAGCTCCGCCATGCGCCTAGCCTCAACAACGCGACGAACAATGAGCGCAAACGTCTCCTCGATATTGACCTCGAGCCGTGCACTCGTCTCCATGAAACCGCACCCCCGGCGACGCGCCCAGTCTAGGCCCATGGCCGCAGGAACGGCGCGGGACTCTTGAAGGTCACATTTGTTGCCGGCGACAATCTTAACGGGAGGAACGGTTTTAGCGCCCGGCGTGGCAGATACGGTATCGCGGTAGGAGGAGGGTGAGAGGCCGGCACGTTTTGCGCGCTCAGCATTATCGAGGCGAGTCTCTGCCTCCATGTCGATGAGGTCGTTAAAGTACTGGAGGGCGTCGATGGAATCGCGGGAGGTGATGTCGTACACGAGCAAGAAAGCATCCGCGCCGAGGTTCGATGATGCCCACATGCCGCGGTACTCCTCTTGCCCGGCCGTATCCGTAAGAGAAAGGTGGTAGTTTTGTCCATCGATCTTGCGGGTGATGGAGTAGGAGTCCTCAATAGTGGGGTCGTATTCGGAGGTCCATTGCGAACGCACGAGACGGAGAGTTATAGAGGATTTTCCGCAGCCGCCGTCGCCGCAAATGGTAATCGAGATTGGCGTCGGGGCTTGTTGTGAGATTGACATTGT